TGCAATGTGAAAAAGAAGCTGCTCTGGGTGGATTAAAGTTTTTAGAAACTTCATTTGCCTTTGTGAACCATTGCTTAGGAAATGCAAGTGGCTGTTTGGCAGGATCCTGGTTGCAGATGGCTTTTTCCTAGTCTCTTAAGAGCTGATTCTCCCGCACTACCTCCAAAGTAAGAAAGGAGTGTTTTTTCCATATCCCTAGCATTTACTGAAGCCTGTAGCCAGCATCAGTAGCAATAGCGTTTTTGTAAGAGCCATTTTTAGTTCTTTACACAGAGGTCTTGGTTTAGAGAAAATATTTCAGAAAGACTCACAAGACATATCTTATAATGAATTTGGTGACCACCAAAACTTGGATCTGCAACAGTTCTTTGAAGTGGACAGCTCTGTCTTTCTGACCAAACTGACAAGTTATCTACTCCTTACACACACATTTAGGGCCCCCCAGTATGCAGAAGCAGCTCTCATGTACCATTCTAAGATACCTCCCTAGCAGCTTTGTTAGGGCCTGAAGATTTGAAAACTAAACTAGCAATTGAAACAAGTACAGAAAGTAATACAAGAAAAAAAAATGTCAAAAGTCATTTACCTAAATGACATGCTCCACCAACCCATCCAGCTGGACAGCTACAAATCCCAGGAGCCACACAAGCTCCATTATTCCGACAACCTTGAGGACAAATTGCTAGAAGGAAAGCATGGACAAACCAGGAGGATTCATAAATCTGATACAAAAGAATCCTGACAGAACAAAATATTCAGGATGATACAAATGAAAATGGAAGAACACTTTTTTTTTTTTCCAAAAGGCCAGATACTCAACTGGTATAATACTAAAAGCATTTCCAGGACCATGACATATAAATTAAAAAAAATAGGCTGTGTTAAAAATTTTGGTTTAAATCTTGACAGACGTACACATTAATGCAAAATAATTTGATACTTTTCTCTCTGCATATGTACCAATAGCGCAGGTCCTCCACTTCTATAGTAATGCAATGACATTTCCGTAGTTATTAGCCCATTAATTCTTTTAAAATACCTTTGTTACTGCAGCTATATTTTTAATCAAAATAAAGTATTTTCATTATTTAAATACACAATGCACTGTGAATGCCACATGCGTTTCCATTTTATCAACCTTATGCCAAAGTAATACAGACATTAAGTGGGAGAAGAGTTTCTTCAAAATTTTCTCCTGGGAGAAAGAGAGGGCTTCGTTTGGTTTAGTGGTTTGTAATTTACTTTTTTTTAAATACACATCACATGCCTAAGAATTGCCTTCTTCAGAACGCAGTGAAAAAACCCGAGACAACTCCAGTATATTATCTGGCAAATTATTTCTGTTTCCACTGATCTCTCATCAGGCTACCTCTTCCCCCCTGCCCTCCTCCTTTTTTATTTATTTATTTTTTTTTTTTTAAAAACAGGCCTGAGGCACTGTCAGCATTTGAGTTACCTGTGGTACAAACAAAGTATATGAATTTAGACACCCACCTTCTTGGCATCTTGATCCTGTCCAGCCAGAAGCACAAAGGCACTTCACAACTCCATTGACAGAGATGCACTCCCCACCATTCTGACAGCCTCCTTCACAGCTTACTGCAAAAAGGACAGCATACATAGTACATTTCAGGAACAGCGCAAAACTGTAAGTAAGTATCTTTAAATAGCTTGTCTACCATCAACTAATTATTGTATTGCGTCTGCAAAGAATAAAATCTCAATTATTCAGAGCAAGGCACAGTTCCATAGGAGAGAGTGAAGATGACAGAACCATCTCTCTAAACTACCATCTCAAAATGCACTTAAAATTAAACATGTGCTTAAGAGCTTGGTGAGCATTTAGCTTGAGAGTACCAAATGTGGTTATTGCTACAGTTTAAAAAAAAAAAAAAAACAGCAAACTGATTGCTCATAAGTCACACTACAGTAATATGTATGCTAACATACATATTCTTATCAATTTTGCTGAAGCACAGCTGATAAGTATTTAACGTATGGCCAAGGATTCATATCTTTCCTTATCTCACAGTAACTCTGCATAATTTGATGAGGAGAAGGGGATATTACTCTGGCAAATGAGCCTGCAGCTAGAGTCGAGTCGAGTGGTGCTTTCCCAAAGGCAAACTGTCCAAGTCAGCCTCCTCAAACCGTTCGAAGCCTTAAAGCCCTGAAGGCCTCATTAATGACCATTATTTATGCCAGATATGTGACTGGCATTGAATGTGGTATGCACCGTCTTTTAAATATGGCATAACCACTGTTCCACAATCAAAAGCATCCTTTCACAAGCATGAATGTTAATGTATTTAACAGTTTCACTTTATGGAAGAGAATCAGCTATTCTTTACCATAATGACAGACCATTGGGATGTCAGCTTGATACATGGGAGACCAAAGTCCAAATTTCTGCTGTACCACAGGCTTCCTGCATGATTTCAGGTAACAGATTTGTGGCACATAGCTGAATGCACAGGGACATCTGAGTTGACTCTAGGATCGCTACAAAAAGCATATCACTAAATGCAGGCTATTTTAGCTGAACTTCTTTTGACAACCAACATGCACACTGATGCACAACTTCTTCAGAGCAGTTTAAATATTTCTTTATATGATATAAGTTGATGTATTTAAAAGCACACTGCACTACACCAAGTTCGCAACTCCAGGCTCCATATGCCACAGTACTCCACCTGAAGGGTGGATACAATCTTACAGGGATAGTATTATAAAAAATACACATAGCATGTGCTCATATGCCGGTCCAAGCCTGGACTACAGCATTATCATAGACTGAATCTTCATTCTGGTGTTCCTGTTCAAATGGTACCTTTCACCTTGTTTCTGATTTGGACACCTTCTCAGAAGGTGAAGTTCCCTCTTATATAGAGGATCCCATCAATCTACATCTTCAGGTGGCTTTTAAGAAATAAATAAATTCTTATGTTGGAAAATGAAGCTGGACCATGCTCCATTTTACCTCATTGCTGTTAACTCTGTCAAAGTCTGCTTGAAACAGTTATTTTCAAATGAATTATACAATGGTACTGTGTTATACAGGAGATAGTCATTAGAAGACACTTCCTCACATTTCTCATTCTTCTTTAACGTTAACAATTTTGGTATCAAAGTATTATCACTGGCATTTGAATTCACACTCTTTGAAACAGTCAAATTAACATCCCAGGGTTATAGTTCAGGCTTCTGCAACCTTAAATAGATGTTACCATATTAGTTACGCTCAGATCGTGTCTTCTTCATAAAACAACAGAAAAAGTTTTATAAAAAAGAAGAAAGCAAAACAAAATAAAGACTCTAGAGAACTGTAGAAGCTACTCAAGTTCCTCCTGCAAGTTCCCATTAGGCTACAAGCCAACCAAACTCTTACAGATATTTCACAGAGGCAAAGAAATAAAGAAAATGCCCACAGAATAAACATCAAGTATAAACCGAGAATCCTGTGAGGTGTGGTTACCTAGTCACTGACCAGAGTTGGAAAAAATGAGTACTTAGCAATAGCTAAAGCCCTTGAAACGTGTTAACAAATTCTTTGTCTCAGCATGGTGATGACTACCTAACTAACTTACAGCGTCTCTTCAAAAAGAAAAATACAGTGCTTTGTTTTTCTTCACTTTTATCCAGATTCTGAGGCTATCCTTTTGCCCCTCAAAATTTGCCCCTCTTTTATCCTAGAACTCAAAGAGCGGTCAGTAGCCTGTTCAGTTCATAATAACGTTAAGTATTTTCTCAGATCATCTTTTCCGATCCATACATATACACAGTAGGCTTCACAAAACCATACAAATTCCTCTTTGTTACTCACCTCCATCATCACCCATTGCCTACCAGCATATATTGCAATTGCAGTGCAATTCGCCATCAATATTGCCATTCTTACAGACACTACATGAAGTTTTGGGCACCTAATGCAGAAATAAGTATCTACAAGTCATCTCATTAAATTATTTATTTAGAAAGTCCTCTCAAATGCTCACAGCAAATTTCAGCTCATATATTCCATCCCGTCCTTCCGCAAGCATTTAGATCCTCCAGGCCATGCTTCTTTTGACAGTAAGGTCAGAGCCAAAGGAATTAAGAACATTATTCCAGGGCCATTAGATCACGAACTTGAGGGGTCCCAAATATATTCTGTCTGTTTTCAAACTTCCTATCTTTTCTAAACTATCACTTGTTTGGATTTTACTCACCTTTATGACAGTATCTACCCCCATAGCCAGGTGGACATCTGCATTTTCCAGGTCTGAGACACTCCCCATCATTTTTGCATTTTGGATAACAAGTTGCTGCAGGAGAGACAACAAACAAAGCTTGGGTAAACACTGGTGCAGCTTATCAAAACTATTTCTTAACTACATATGATGTGTATTATTTTAGCCTCTCTGAATACTGTATGTCATCACACTTCCCACAATGAGACTGTCCTGCCATCCCACATTACCAAACAGGTGGAAGAGTTTCCCTGCATAGACAGCACTCCACCATTTTAAGATTTTAAACATTCAAAACTAGGGGAGATTAAAAAGAAACACAGCTGGACAGCCATTATTTTGATAATTTAAGTCCAGAAATGGCAAAAGTCAGGTAAGAAAAGCAGTAATAAGGAAAGACAAAAAAATTTGACGACTTCAGTGGCAACTCTGCTTCTTAAGATGTAATATCAGACTTAACTCTTTACCGAATTCCTGCATCCCTCTCCAGGCATAAACTACATTCTCATTTCCTCATCTCTTTTTTTAAATCTCTCTAAAAATAAATTAGCACTTCTTTCATCTCCATCCTCTATATTTGCCTCAACTGGCCTTTCAGAGGGCTTTTCTAAAGTGTACAGTGTTTGCTTAGAAACCACCTAAGATAAGTGTTACTTTTATTATAACCACATATATCTGCGAGGAGAAAAGCATCTGTATTCCTCATGGATTATACAGCTCTTTCATTGCTGACAGCTTACATGTGTTGCATAAGGCGCAAATGAAGGCTCCATTTTGCAAAATTCTTGGTAGAGCTGGTCAGACTGCAAATATATCACCTAACATACAGCTCTCCTTCGTACGCATAAGTCATTCCTGAATCAGTCCTGGTTTCTAAGAAAATATTTGTTTATTCACATACAAATTTTAGAAAACAATGCGCTTCCGCAGGACTCATCTGAATTAACTGCAGGTGTGGGATGAGTTCTCCATATCACATTGTTTTATCCTTTGTTTGGATCAGTATGACGTTTGAAATAGAAGGAAGACAGGGGAGAGATCAGCAGTGAGTCACACGCTGGTTTTGCCACCAAATACTTATTGCCATTCTTAAGCTAAGAGAGGATTTTTCGTATCAGTATTTGCAGAGTGACTATCTGCATGCAAATAAAGGACACAGACATTTACGAAAGAGCCATTCAGTACTCCGTTCTGCACAACTGTTTTACTACATACTTTCAATTCACTGGAAATGCCATTGAAGAGCTTTCAGTTTAAGAGAAGTTCTCTTTCTGTGTTATTTCCTATAGTTTTATAAGCTTTTTACCTATTTATGCTAAAAAAATATCAATATGGCAGTGCTACCAGAATACCAATACTCTGTGGAGACACATGTATGGAATAAGAGAGCAGCTCTACAGCTCTAGGTTGAAAACTTAACAATACATTTGACACCACTTGCAAGAAGGAAGCACAGCAAATAGGAAGCGCTGGAGTGAAACAGGAAAGAAAACGAGAACAGCCATGACATCCCAAAAGGTTAGCATGGTGTGCATTATGCAGTACTGGGATCCTAACAATGTTATACCCTTCATTTAAAAAAAAAAACAAAAAAACACTGCTTTTCACAACCGCTGGGTCTAACTATTACCATTCGGTTAGTTTCCTGTGCAAAACACAGATTTATAGGAGACAGCTGAAGAAAGACTTTTTATAAGGCAAACACCTTTTAAAATATAGGCATTCCAAAGAGGGGAGGGGGGGGCAGGAAAAGGAAGAGACGAATAATGAAAGAATTAAATGTCGTCTTGAAATCCAAAGCCTACAGGCTGCATTTGTTCTCTTGTACCCATTTTACTCTTTGCCAAAAATATCTGCAACTCCTCCCAGACTTTTAAGAAGAAGCAAGACTGTCTCCAGTGAATGGGAAGAATCTGATCTGCAACTTCAGAGTGCAAACATCCGGAAGCTCAACTCACTCAAAGAAAGCTTCCACTGAAGCACCGTGAGGTATTTTACAGTACATCTGTGTTCACAGATCTCTTTGGATTGCTCATAGGCAAAACAGTACAGGTCACCTCAGCTACTATACACTCGACTCGCATGTCACTGTGACCCGTTTGAGCAACAAGACAAAGCAGGAAAACTCTTTTCTAAGTAATCCACTCAATTAGATAGAATTAGTCATAGGAAAAAAGTCTCCTCCGAGTCTTTCCTCAGTTATATCCATGTTTTCCAATCCCAGAAACAGTGATAATAGAAGCAAAGTTCTTCCTATTCCAGACCTCAGGTTATTCCAAAACCTGTACTGACCATATTATCAGATCCATGTAGCTTCCAACCACAAAGCTGAACAAGTTTGAAGATCATGCACTTAAAATCAGTGCACACACAACACTGTTCTTCTTTTCTCCAAACTGCCTGCGACTGTAATGAAGTTCACTTCACCTTTTTTAAACTACAGAACAGATCTTCTGCCTTCACTTTTAGCCTTCTAAATAGCCAGAAAACACTAGAGATGATATCACAAGCACCAAGCAAGCTGGCGATCAACAGCAGGCTTTTCAGTTCACCTGGGCTTTTATGCCTCCTGCCAGGAAACTGGGATGTACAAATGGTTATGTGGGTCACTGTAACATCCAGAAAGCAAATGCCTGTATTTTTTTTCATAAGCACGAAATAGTGCGGACAAACAAAAGGTAGAGAAAATAACCTACCCTCTAGGGTAGACCAGTTTCAGTCTTTCCATTAGCACCACTCCCACTAACCCCATCCAGAAATACCAGTGAAGGCTCCCGAGGTGTGAAAAGCAGTTCGCCCTCTAACAGCATCCCACCTTACTCAGGGAAGCTCTCAGACAAGCACACAGAGAGAACGGCAAAAGAGGAGGCTGACGCCGAAACCTTTTCGGCAGACAGCCGCTTACCCCAAGTTCAAACGGTAAAGACCCGACCTGCTGGCAGCGCCGACATGTCAGGCCTCCGCCTTTACTCACCCAGGTGAGCTTCTCCACAGACGGGCTCTGCGGGCCGGCCACCGCCACCCCGCAACCACGGACCGCCTCCCTCCGCC